ATAGGAGAGAATATTATGATATTATATATAATATGATTCTTGCCTAGGGCCCCAACAGACTCTGGAATCGCCACTGACTGCCCGCCCATCACTTCAAACTAGCATGTAAAACTGTCCATGGAACAAAAAGTAAATATTATAAACCTAGCTTGGTTTGTCCCTTTTTATGGATCAAGTATTAATCTCACACCTCCACGACTCTGAGCACTTCAGTCCTTTGAAAAGGTTCCCTCTCTTCCTCTTTCTGCACAGCCATGCAAATACTCACCTGCACGACCAAAATGGCCGTCTGACTTTTTGTCTCTGTGAAATGTTATTCCTTCTCTTATAGGTATGTATGAGTCTTCATTATTATCATAACAAGAAACCATTAAAAGCTCCTGAGACTTTCTGTTTGTGTTGATTTTGGGGTGCTCTGTTGACTAAGAGGTAAGTCCATCTCTTTGGTCAGTTTATCCTTTAATCATATAAGTAGCATTTTCAGATGTAAAAACACATCCTGCCGCTTTTCAACAGTCTAACACGACCCTCATTGTGACTCTTTTCTGTTTCTGCAGTGTGCCGTTAATCATCTTATCTGACACTCTCCTGTGGCAGCGGTTACCGGCATGTGAAACAGAAACACAAACATAAATCAGTCTTGTTGCTGATGGTTCTGTTTCCGTTTGCTTTTGTAAGTCGTACAGACATATCGGCCTGTTTCATAACCAATTCTAAAATACTGAAAAAGCAGAGTGGGATTTTTCTGGCACCACTTCACCAACTTCCAAGGAGCCTGAAGAGTGAACGGCTAGAAGAGGACAAAAAGCTCCAGCAGCACTTGTTGTTTTAAAAACCTTATTAGGCCGACATGTTTCAGCTCGTGGTCTTCATCGGGGTCTGGGGTCAAGTGTTGCTGGAGCTTTTTGACCAATGATAAAATACTAACAGGTGCTTTTACATTAAGCGAGTCATGATTTGTTATGAATCATACAAAGGCTCATTTCCTTTATGAAGTTTTTATTTCCTTTAAAAAAAAATGATTTGCAGTATAAATATATAAAGTACATTTTGCTCTTTAAAATGACAATTTCATCAGAAAGATAAAAAATGTGGTCAACACATGCTGACAAATGTAAACTCAAAGAGCACAGATGTGGTTTAAGTCAGAGATCATGAATGGTCAGCAGGTTGTTATTGTGGAGTGGAGCCCTGACATAGCGGTACCATGACGCTAAGTGGAGGTGGTCTTTGTCTTATCACCAGACTTCCTTCGACAGATTGATATGTTTACAGTTAGTCCTTCGGAGCCGCTTCCCTAGCAACCATCTCATTTTCTTCTCTATCTACCATGACAGGCACAAATCGTCCTCATAGGGTCGGACTCTTTTGCTTTGCCACGTTGCCACGTTTTCCTCTCGACATCATTTCCTGACTCCTAAGACCCCTCCCAGATTCTGCCTGACTGTAAAAGTCTGCCGCTGTGAGAGGCGTGTGTGAACAGGGCAGCTAGTCCTGACATGTTCAGGAGTGAATGTGTGAGAAAGGGCTGTAGGTTAAGAGAGAGACCCTTGAAAATGAGTGAGCATGGCACACACATACCACAGCTGGTTAACGGACCCCAGGAGGGACCGGGGAAGAACTCCGTCAAATATCTGGTACTGCTTGATTCTGTATAATGCTCTCTCTATGTGAGCTTTCAACTTTGCATTACTTTGAGTGGTGGAAGCTTCCTGCTTGATGGACTTTCTCCTCTGATTCAGAAATGGCGGCGAGACAAGAGACACATTGATGGCTGACAGCAGATCACTAATGAGGAAACTGTTATCAGCCATCACCTCATCCCCCTCCTCCAGCAGGGACAAGATCCCAGAGCGTTTTGTTATTTCCTCCGCAGAGATCGACCCTTCATACAGGCTGCTCACAAATGTGATTTCTCCAGAGGGGCTCACACCCATCAAGCCCTTCAGGGTGGTGGAGCCGTTGTAGTTTGAATAGTTCTCAGGATTGACCTTCTTTGAGCTGGCCCGCTCCATGTGGACCTCCGTGCAGTCCAAGATAACCCTCGTTCTTGGATAGGTGTCTTTAAAGCACTGTGGCATCATTTCACTTACAGCTGATCTGTGGAGCCACACGGGCAACGACCCCAACATGAAAAACAGGTAATTGGCCCAAGTAGTCACCACTCTACTGACTGTCGACGGTGAGACATGAAAACGCTCTGCCAGGGATTCCTCAGACGCCCCCTCTCTTACACGGCAGAGGAAGAGAAAGAACTGATCGATCAAAGACAAGTTTTCTGCCTGTAATGCCGCCCTGCTCATCTCCTGCCCCGTCACTGTCTGTGCCTGGCTCCACCTCTGTAAGCGCTCTGCAGTGGGCTCCAGGGACAAGTAGACACATTTTAACGTGACATAGTCCTAAAAAACAAAAAAGATAAGTGTTACTGGTATATCAATTATTAGTAGAATTGCATTTTAGGCAGATTTTCTGCATTTCTTTATTTTGAATTTGCTAATTTCTCCTTCTTATTTACCCTTAGAAATATTTTTTTTAATAATGTGGTTGTTAAAAAGCGACCTTAGGAAAAGATTTGAGTCTAAAGAGGGGGAATATTTGCATTCAACAAAGTCATGATGGTAACATGAATGAATGTTGGGCCTTTATTTTGTATATCAATATATTATTTTTCCTCATAATGTTCAAATGCTGTTTTTTTTAACAAAGTACTTTGAGTTGCTCCATTCTCAATGAATGGATCATGTGATTCATTAATAAAGATGACCTAAGTGTATTCTCATCACATCGATTCTCTTTAGTTGTGCTCAAACCCACAAACACCCTCACACCTCCACTCTCTGCACACATCTGTTTGCCACACGCCCCTCTCTCTCTCTCTCTCTCTCTCTCTACGTCTCGCTCCCTTTTTTAAACTGCCGAATATTCTGTCACAAAAGATGAGTTTCTTCTTCATGAATTAAAATGCAAAAACACATTAATACTGTAATTAATTGGAGAGTCAACATCATTCATTTAAATATAATGTTTAAAAATGTCTTATTGAGAACCAACAATGTCAACACTGATGCTGCACCTACTCTTGGTAACTTTAACTGTATGCTATGTTGGAGATTATTCATTCTTGTTACCCAAGTTGTTGTTGCACATATCTATTGTTTGTTGTTGTTGTTTTGTCTTGTTTTTTCCTTTACTAATGAACATACTGTATGTTAATGGATTACATTTCATTCCATGATGCCAAAGAACATCTGGCAAAGGGACTGCCAATTGGGGTACATTTACATCCGTCTGAATGTTGATTAATGTACACTGTCCCTTTTCAAATAAATAATAAATAAATGAGCCCCGGCCCCCGTGTGAAGGAGAACTTGTTGTTAATGTATCAAAACTTTGGAAAAGAACTTTGTTCTTAACGAACTTCACACTTTTTTTAAAGATCTATTTTAGGGCTTTTTGCCTTCATTTGACAGGACAGTGGATCAGGAGAGATGAGGGAATGACCTGAGCATACCTCTATATACTGTGAGGTGTGTGTGTGTGTTTCAGTAGTGTGTGAGTAGTCCTTCTAAACAACAAGTACGGACGGAGGAGCGCGTGAGGGCAAACCGTCCACTTATTAATCAATAGAAAATGGTCTTGTTCACTCAGATAGAATATAAGAAATTAAAATTCAATAAGATTTAAACATTGTGTTTTCAACATGTTAACAAAGCTGCTGTGGAGTCAAATATATCCGATGGTATTATAGACATTAATGTTAGTTAAACAGCCCTAAAAACAACATAATATACTGTAGAACTAAAATGCATTGAAAGAATAACTGTGTAACTCCGACACCTAGTGTTTAAAAAGGGTACTGCAGTCCAAATTCAAAACCTTGTAGAGAGCTGTTTGCCCCCCGCCCCCTCCCCCTATAGAGTCGAAGGACACACAGGTTGCTATCTGGTGAACACTGAAGCTTCAGTGTTTATCCAGCTCTGCATCGGTCTGTAAACCTTTCTGTGTTCTAACCTCTCTCCATTTTTCAAAAGCATCTCCAATATTGATCCTAGTTTGAGCACGTTTCTGCTCGTGGAGCTTATTAGAAACATGCAGAGGCTTTTTAGGTTGGGTACAATCACTTCTATCTGAACCACTTCTCTTGCCCGCTTCCATCACTGCAACACCTGTTGACCTGATAGCTGCTCTCTGACAAACCGAGGGGCGTCCAAAACGGCCGTGTGGGGGTGTCTTAAAACCGCCTACCTTCTCTGGTCCAAACAAATCCAGAGCATTCAGGACCAGAATCTAAAGTTAGAAGGAGGACATACTGGCTGCTGCATTGTTGTCAGAGAAGCCAGCACTTCAACAGAGCATGTTTCCTTAATGTCTGATCAGATAGTAAGATACCTTTATCATTCTATTCAGTAGTTATCTTACAGATTGCTCCTTTAATCTTTTCTTTTTTTTAAAGTGAAATTGAAGTTACTTACGAACACACTGATGTGGCTCTGTGAGTTTACTTGGTTGCTGCACACTTTTTTTTAATATCAAATTTACTGTGAGGTTGTACTGTAAGACTATTTTAAAGCCCAAACTTATGAGAAAGATATCTCCACAGCTTTGATTCCCATTCATCCCCAGTTTATAAGTATTTCTGCAAGTCACCCCATGATCACTGCACTTCTTGATTCACCTGAAATCCGGTGTAGAAAGTCAACAGATTGGCATCATCCTGGAATCGTTGAAGACAGAAGCGCGAGGCCAAAAGCTCATAATTTTCCTCAGTAAGCTTGGCAATCTCCCGTTGTGCTGCCTCCAGCTGCTCTGCCACAGAAACAGGAAACTTCACGTAGTCATGGTCAGCAAGAGGTGCCGGCATGTCCTCTGGTCTACGGGAAACAACTAAACAATCAGAGAACATCTATTCCAAAATATGTGTAAATCTCTGCATCTCTGGGTGAAATCAGGGAATATGAAAGTGTCTTACTTATCAGCATCCTGTGTGGAACCAGCATCCTCAGTGATCACTTCTCCAGGCTCAGGTCTGTAACAATATGAAGTTTACACCTCATTAATCCTCATAGCAGATGGAAATAAATAAATTAAACACGCTTTTGTGCTGTCATGAAATCACACATCACTTACGTGCTGTTAACAAGAGGTATCTTAACGTAAGCGACTTTGTTCCATGGAAACAGCTGAGGGACACTTCCTGGAACCAGGCCTCTCTTTTGAGAGTCTTCATGCCACCGAAAACAGTCTCCAGTGAAATGCTTAGAACAAACACCTACGCCCGATTTAATCTGTTTGAACGTCACAGAAAAGAAGTATCCAGTGAGCATAAGGTCTCAAAACAGTCCTGGTTAAAGAAGAACATGTTTAAAGGTTGGTCAGAGAGAGAGCTGCACCACTTGTGTCATAGTGCAATAGAGGAGGGAAAAATCGATTTATGTTAAAATCGAGATTCTGATCTTCTGAGATTTTTTTAAATAGATTAAAAACTTCCAAAACTCTTTAACTCAGTAGAACGCCAAATGGAGCAGCAAGACATCCAGCGAGTCTCACAGATGACTGCAGGTAGATCCTGATGTATACTAATTTAAAAATAGACTTTGAATCAATGAATGGATCCATAATCGTTTTGAATCGAAAATAGATTCTGAACCAAATCGTGAGACACTCAAAGATTCCCAGCCCCGCTGTGCAAGCTTCTACATCCTTTGATTTTCTCCTCACCTGTATAAATGTGTTGAGGATGCACTTTAACGTCTACATTTCATATACTAGTGGTGTCTTGTATGTGTAACACTCTCAAAAAATCAATGGATGCAATGGTGATAAACTGTGCAGCTGAAGCAGGAAGACAATCCAAAAGGGAATTTAAATTGTTGTGTAGACTGAGAGAAATGTATATGATGGGAATTACTGGAGAAGATTTACAAGATTGAGGAGATTACTCATCAGAGTTTCTATGTTTTAGATATTATTATCATTAAACAAACCTTGTTGTTATATGTTAGCCTTCTGAAAGGGGGTCTTGGACCTGATTTAACTTCTTTTATTCATCTAAAAATCAACATTGAAACTGAAGCATCCTGTATTTAACTGTTTCCTGAGGTCGGTTTGCAAAGAGAGCTCCACAGCTTTACCTAAGGCTTTTATCAATGCGTTTATATGTACAATTACTGTTACTTTCAAATCGAAATCAGTGTCATAAAAGTAAATTGTTAGCTATGAAGTAGCTGAATGCTAACTCTAGCTGTTTCTGATGGTGGGTTGTTTTGTTTTTTTACCTCGAAATCTGGTTCCCTGTCCTTCCGGGTTTTCACCAGCCATTGTTTTCGTAGTTTCTTGTTAGTCGGGAAGCGATGAAATGTCAACGTCATGTAATCAGATATTCGACGTTTATCTGATTTACAACCTTTAATACAACATCCCCACATGATAACAACTGACGAGTTTCCCACTCGGAGCGTGACGTCACAGGAAATGTTCTCTTCTTCTTCTTCTGCTGTCCGTATCTTTTATGGCGGGTGACCCTCAGCTTTCAGATGCATTAGCGCCACCTACTGTGTTGGAGTGTGGCCCAGGGTTTAATATAATATATATAAATAATAACTATATATCACTCTGTTATTGAGAGACAAGCTTCTTACACACTTAGGCCCGAATCACATACATACACAAACAGGACTTGTGGACATGAATTAATGGAGAGATGTTAAAGTGTGGCTGCCACAGGGAGCACGCCTGAGCTGCTTGCTCAAGGGCACATCGACAGTACCGGGGAAGTGACTTGGCACATCTCCAGCAACCAGACCAAGTTTCATACTTTGGTCCACACTGGGACCATCAGTGACCCGATCTGGTTCCCAACCCAAGTCCGTTCAGACTGACCTACTGCCACCTGAGCTACTTCCTTTATACAGCCTAGCACCTTAAAAAACACAGGTTTACAAAGTGATTTGACATACAGCGAAAGCAAAATAAGAACAAAGCAAAAGAACCGAAACACAGAAGAACATTAAGTAACCACAACAACAAAAAACAACCCAACAGCAAAAGAACCAATTCAACAAAATACCCAACAAACTTCTTTAACCCAACCATCATAAGACCCATTATAACAACCATCATAACAACCATTACAACATCCATCATAAGACCCATTATAACCATCATAACATCCATCATAAGACCCATTATAACCATCATAACATCCATCATAAGACCCATTATAACCATCATAACATCCATCATAATACCCATTATAACCATCATAACATCCATCATAATACCCATTATAACCATCATAAGACCCATCATAACAACCATTATAACATCCATCATAAGACCCATTATAACCATCATAACATCCATCATAATACCCATTATAACCATCATAAGACCCATCATAACAACCATTATAACATCCATCATAAGACCCATTATAACCATCATAACATCCATCATAAGACCCACCATAACAACCATCATAAGACCCATTAAAACCATCATAAGACCAATTATTACAACCATCATAACAACCATCATAAGACCAATTATTACAACCATCATAGACCTATTATAACAACCATCATAACACCCATTATAACCATCATAACAACCATCATAAGACCCATTATAACCATCATAACACCCATTATAACCATCATAACAACCATCATAAGACCCATTATAACCATCATAACAACCATCGTAAGACCCATTAAAACCATCATAACATCCATCATAAGACCAATTTTTACAACCATCATAACATCCATCATAAGACCAATTTAATTATTACAACCATCATAAGACCCATTAAAACCATCATAACAACCATCATAACAACCATCATAAGACCAATTCAATTATTACAACCATCATAACAACCATCATAAGACCAATTATAACCATCATAACAACCATCATAAGACCCATTAAAACCATCATAACATCCATCATAAGACCCATTATAACCATCATAACAACCATCATAAGACCAATTATTACAACCATCATAACAACCATCATAAGACCCATTATAACCATCATAACAACCATCATAAGACCAATTATTACAACCATCATAACAACCATCATAAGACCCATTAAAACCATCATAACATCCATCATAAGACCCATTATAACCATCATAACAACCATCATAAGACCAATTATTACAACCATCATAACAACCATCATAAGACCCATTATAACCATCATAACAACCATCATAAGACCCATTATTACAACCATCATAAGACCCATTATAACCATCATAACAACCATCATAAGGCCAATTATAACAACCATCATAACACCCATTATAACCATCATAAGACCCATTATAACAACCATCATAACACCCATTATAACCATCATAACAACCATCATAAGACCCATTATAACCATCATAACAACCATCATAAGACCCATCATAAGACCCATTATAACCATCATAACAACCATCATAAGACCCATTATAACAACCATTATAACCATCATAAGACCCATCGTAAGACCCATTATAACCATTATAACCATCATAACAACCATTATAACCATCATAACAATCATCATAACAACCATCATAAGACCCATTATAACCATCATAAGACCCATTATAACAACCATCATAACACCCATTATAACCATCATAACAACCATCATAAGGCCAATTATAACAACCATCATAACACCCATTATAATCATCATAAGACCCATTATAACAACCATCATAACACCCATTATAACCATCATAACAACCATCATAAGACCCATTATAACCATCATAACAACCATCATAAGACCAATTATTACAACCATCATAACAACCATCATAAGACCCATTATAACCATCATAACAACCATCATAACAACCATCATAAGACCCATCATAAGACCCATTATAACCATCATAACAACCATCATAAGACCCATTATAACAACCATTATAACCATCATAAGACCCATCGTAAGACCCATTATAACCATTATAACCATCATAACAACCATTATAACCATCATAACAATCATCATAACAACCATCATAAGACCCATTATAACCATCATAACAACCATTATAACCATCATAACAACCATCATAAGACCCATTATAACCATCATAAGACCATTATAACCATCATAACAACCATCGTAACAACCATCATAAGACCCATCATAAGACCCATTATTACAACCATCATAAGACCCATTATAACCATCATAACAACCATCATAACAACCATCATAAGACCCATCATAAGACCCATTATAACCATCATAACAACCATCATAAGACCCATTATAACAACCATTATAACCATCATAAGACCCATCGTAAGACCCATTATAACCATTATAACCATCATAACAACCATTATAACCATCATAACAATCATCATAACAACCATCATAAGACCCATTATAACCATCATAACAACCATTATAACCATCATAACAACCATCATAAGACCCATTATAACCATCATAAGACCATTATAACCATCATAACAACCATCGTAAGACCCATTATAACCATCATAACAACCATTATAACCATCATAACAGCCATCATAAGACCCATTATAACCATCATAAGACCATTATAACCATCATAACAACCATTATAACCATCATAACAGCCATCATAAGACCCATTATAACCACCATAAGAACCATCATAAGACCCATTATAACCATCATAACAACCATCATAAGACCCATTATAAGACTCATTATAACCATCATAAGACCCATTATAAGACTCATTATAACCATCATAAGACCCATTATATCACACACAAACATGCATGTACGTGCATCAGTGCTGGACACTCTGGAGAATGATAATGCTTGTTGTAATCCATATAGCGCCCTCTGCTGGTGAAAGAGAACTGCCAGTGTAATACAATGATACTTACATTAAATGCTGTTTGACTGGTTAATAACTCTAGTTATATCGGCACATATTCGCGATAAAATTAGCCGATAACGATAGACACTTGATATGCTAATATTGGTCGTTATCGGCTGGCCGATTAGTATTTAACCATGAACATCGACCTCAATATGATTAAGATGGAAATCATGAAAGGAAACGTTTTTTAAAAAGATTTTCCAAACTTTTATTGCACAAAAATATTCAACACATGATTATATTAAGTTATTTTCAGTCTTTCAAATTACAGTGTCATCAAATAGATTAAAAACATGGTCAAGTACAAAACATTGCCGACAATCGGACAATCAAACAGTAAACAGTAGATACTCAATATGTTTGGGATGAGCTGCATGTTTGAACGGAAACAGCCAATGTTACCCGAAATCTTAACTGCCAGCCCCCCCCGTAATATTTCTGCATAAAGTCGACGTGAGCCGACGTGTGAATGCAGCAGGTCATGTTCAGGAAGATTCAAAACAAGCGAGGAGGTGGGGGTGATGACATTTAAATCACGCGTCCTGCACGTATTTCAGCTTTGTCCTAATCTGTACTACATACAGCGAGTACATCCAACTACCTGTAGCACTGATATTAAGGCACAAACTGTTGTCTTAGTGTCTGACTTTTTTGCTTTGTTCTACATTTTGATGCTGTGCATTTTACACCATGCCCTGCTCGACAGTGAAGAACTCCCGCTTTGACCAACGGGTGAACAGGCAAGTCAAACTGTCAGGAGTTCATGTGTGAGAAGGGCTGTGGGTTAAGAGAGAGGCACTTGGAAATTAGCCAGCATGGCACACACATACCACAACTGGTTAACTGTCCCCAGGTGGGAATGGGGAAGAACTCTATTAAAGATACGGTTTTGCTTCATTCTTTGTTTGGCTTTCTCTACATGAATTCTTAACTTTGCATTACTTTGAGTGGTGGAAGCTTCCTGCTTGATGGACTTTCTCCTCTGATTCAGAAATGGCGGCGAGACAAGAGACACATTGATGGCTGACAGCAGATCACTAATGAGGAAACTGTTATCAGCCATCACCTCATCCCCCTCCTCCAGCAGGGACAAGATCCCAGAGCGTTTTGTTATTTCCTCCGCAGAGATCGACCCTTCATACAGGCTGCTCACAAATGTGATTTCTCCAGAGGGGCTCACACCCATCAAGCCCTTCAAGGTGGTGGAGCCGTTGTAGTTTGAATAGTTCTCAGGATTGACCTTCTTTGAGCTGGCCCGCTCCATGTGGACCTCCGTGCAGTCCAAGATAACCCTCGTTCTTGGATAGGTGTCTTTAAAGCACTGTGGCATCATTTCACTTACAGCTGATCTGTGGAGCCACACGGGCAACGACCCCAACATGAAAAACAGGTAATTGGCCCAAGTAGTCACCACTCTACTGACTGTCGACGGTGAGACATGAAAACGCTCTGCCAGGGATTCCTCAGACGCCCCCTCTCTTACACGGCAGAGGAAGAGAAAGAACTGATCGATCAAAGACAAGTTTTCTGCCTGTAATGCCGCCCTGCTCATCTCCTGCCCCGTCACTGTCTGTGCCTGGCTCCACCTCTGTAAGCGCTCTGCAGTGGGCTCCAGGGACAAGTAGACAGAGTTTAGCGTACCATAGTCCTAAAAACCAAAATGATTAAGCATGTTATTAAAAAACAGGAAAACAAACAGATGCAGAGGTACTTATTTTAACTCTATGATTCACCTGAAATCCAGTGTAAAAATACAAAAGCCTGGCATCGTCCTGGAATCGTTGCAGACAAAAGCGTGATTCCAAAAGCATTTTCTTTTCCTCAGTAAGCCTGGAAATCTCCTGTCGTGCTGCCATCAGCTGCTCTTCCAAAGGTGGAGACAAATGTATGTAGTCGTGGTCAGCATACGGTGCAGATGTGACAACTATCTCCGGTCTGTAGGACACAATTGAAAGCATCAGAAAACAACTCCAGAATCTGCAGGAAAAAAATCAGATAGTATGAGCGTTTCTTACTGCAAGTCAGCTTCTTCTTCTGTGGATTCTGTGACCTCAATTGTTACATTTCCAGCCGCCTCACCTCTGTAGAAATACAGTTTAGACCTCATTAATCTCATTAAAGACATAAACCGAACATGTGTTCGAACAGCAAAAAGCCCACATTCACTTACTTCTGGTTTGTAAGAGGGATTGTCAGGTATGAGACTTTGTTCCATGGAAAGATATGGGGGACACTTCCTGGAATCAGACATGTCCTGCGAATTCTTTCGTTCCACCAGAAACAGTCTCCAGCGAAATGCTTGGAACACACCCTTGTATTTGATGTAACCTGTATTAACAGCACAGACGAGATGCAGTGAGCGTAAAGTCACAAAATGTTTCCAGAATATGTTTGGGGTCGAAAAAAGATAAAGCTGTAAAGGGACGAGGTGGGATTATTTTAGCGATACGTTATTTTTCTTTCATGTAAAGTTCAAGTACATAAACAACCAATCCAGCCGTACAGGGAAATACATAATTTTTGGATGCCAACCGTCTCTAAAAACTCCAGAAGAAGAAGAAGAGAAATAAGGAGATGGAGAGGGAAGATGAGTTTGAAAGAAGCCGTGGGATTTTCCTTGAAATCTGGACACGTCTCTTTTATGTGTGCAGCCATTATTTTGGGATTTTCAGTAAATGTAGAGAAGGGAAACTGTGAAAAAGGAACTTAATAAGCAAGAGAAAGTAAGCCATCATAGAAAGTAAAGAGATGGAAAAGCATTACAATGAAATACAAAAAAGGAAATACAAAGAAAGGAAAATATTAAATTAAAAGGGAAGGATATTTAAGTAAATGCTCATAAACTGTGCTGATGGTCTACCATCCGGCTCAGTGCAGTAAAGGGAAAATGCGTCCTCTGAAATTGTCTCATGATCAATGAAGAATTATCCGATCCTATCCTATCCTATGTCTCCACCTATGGCAAGCACTTTTAACATTTAAGTATTAGCGGTAATAGTTAGACTATTAGAATTCCAAGGCGACATATCCACAATGTAATTTTCACTAGTAACAATTCTAATTATATAATATCTACAATTCATTTTTCACTAGTGGAACTGGTCATTGTAGATATCTGTAACTTAATTACAACTAGTCAACTTGTGCCATTGACTTCTATTCAAATTGAATTACAGATATCTGTTATTCAATTTTACATGTTGTAATTCAAAGTCGACATATCCACAATGACATTTTGACATGTCGCAATTCTAATTCATGATATCTACAACTCAATTCTCACTAGTAAAAATGTTAATTCTTGATATCAACAATTCTATTCTTACTAGTGACAAAGTTCATTTATGATATCTACGATTGTTCTAACGTTACAGATATGATAAATTAATTCTACATCTCTAAAATGCAATTCTTACTTGTCGAAATTACATTATTGATATCTTAACCTGGAATTATTACATGTAAGAATGTAATTACAGATATCTTGAATTTACATTTCAACATGTCAAAATGTAATTTTGACATGTTGAAATGTTATTTCCACTAGTGAAAACTAAATTGCTACTTGTCAGCCAGACTGTTTTAATGTTAAAGGGCTTGCCATACTCATTCAGCGGTAAGTAAACACTAAACTTTATCATTATACATGTTAAAAAAACGTGACTATCTTACCACTCACAGTATAAACTCCGTCATTGGTGACATCAGGACCTAAAGACAATTTCAACCAAAATCTTAAAAAAAGTGTATCTGGAGAAAGTTACCAAGCCTGTCTTTAAGGATTAATAAGAGCATCAAAACATGCTTCTGGTTTCCTTAAAGTGTGAACACAGAGGGGAGTGTTGCAGGGTTGAGATAATGTTGAGGCTGTACAGAGAGCATTATGTGATCACAGATAACTGTCCATGCAGAAACGCTTCTCCTGAAATCTTCAATAAAACGGTATCAAAACGTGCTGCCCATACTCTGACTTTAGTCTATACGATAGGGGACAATGACAGCCTCTGCTACTGAATCACTTTTGATTTCTTCCTCTAAGAGTGGCTGGTTAGTTCTTTAAGTTTCTACTGAAGTTTGAAGTTTCCAATGTTTGAGAATCATTATGAAAATTATTAAAAATGATTAATTATAATTTGTTGACTGAAAGTGTGATTAGTGTATGTCGATATATGTTGATGTGTATGGTGGGGGGCTTTTGGGATGCTAACCGCCTCTAAAAACACAGAAGAAGAAGAAGAAACAGTAGAAGAGGAGGTGGCTGAATGCTAATGTTAACTGTTTCCTGAGGAGTGTGTGTAATAAATCCCTTGAGTTTTACCGCTATTATATAAACGTGTACAGTACAAGCATTAATAACTAGTATTAATGAATTCTATCTTCATCTTATAAGTATTACGTGTTTAAAGAAATCTTACACATTAAGTAGTTGAATGCTAACAGCTGTTAGCTTTATTGTGCTATGTTTTTACCTTGAAATCTGGCTTTCTGTCTTTCCGGGTCTTCTTTAACCATTCTTCTTGTAGGTCTTTATCAGTCGGAAAGCAATGAAATGTTACCATTGAGTCACATTCTCGAGCTCTGCGTGATTTACATCCTTGAATAATACAGTACTGCGACATGATAACAACAGTGGAGTTTCCCCACTCTGCGTGTGACGTAGTATGGTGACGTAGCCTTCTTCGTCTTCTGTTTGGTTTTATGACGATTGGCGAACAACGAGTTGGTGCATTTTCGCCACCTACTGGTGTGGAGTGTTCAAATTCTAATGTGCACTATAGTTTTCTATACATTTAAACAAATAGATTAAATTAAAAGATATAACTTATTATATCCTCTTAATCAACATAGATTGTTGAAGACAGGGGTTCCAAAACTTTTCGGCCCGGGACCCCGAAATAAGATGCTACTATATTTACAGTCTATGGCTGCTAGAAAGACCCTGGACCCCCATTGTTGCCTACATATAAGTACATTGTTGTCCACAAAAATCATTTATTTTCAGTTCATAAACACTCTGAGGAGAGACTTTGCATTTGTCCCCTTCATCATCTTCAAGGTACTGAGGTAATCACCCACACAGGTTGTGTTGGTAGAGTCAGTCACCTCTCAACCGGAAAGCTGGGGTTCGATCCCCAGCTCCTGCAGCCACATGTGCAATGTGTCCTTGGGCAAGACACTTAACTCCAATGTGCTCCCGCTGCCTTGTCAGCAGCGTATGAATGTGTATGAATGGTTTAGTTCATGGTGAATGTCACTTTACATCGAAACCTCTGCCATCAGTGAGTGAATGTGTAGGTGTGACCTGCGGTGTAAAAGCGCTTTGAGTAGCCAGATAACTCGAAAAGCCCCACACAACCTCAAGTCCATTTAGCAAGTCCATTTCCTGAAGACGACGGAGAGGGGCTTCACCTTCTTCCATTTACATGTATGAATGAAACATTTCACCATCAGAATGTTCACGTCTGCTGTCCTCCATGTTTACACCAAACACAATGTTACCTCTTGTGAGACGGTCCAGTGGTGACATTTTGGTTGACAACCGGTCCTGCAAATCCTCCTAAAATATCACATACCACATACAACACCAAAAACAGAAGAACTGTTCCATTTCAACATCTGACAAAGTTTATTTACGAATGCAAGCTGGTAATGGTCAAAAACTCCGTCCTGCAATCAACAACTGCAAAACTTTCAACTTGTGTATCAAAGCCCCCGTTGTCTCTGCTTGTGTTTATTGTAACTGGTTGAACAGGAGGATAATATGCAGCCTTTGATGTCTTGTAGTAGTAGAAGTTATTTTGATCAGAATAAACAATTATCCACACCAAAACACAAACATTTTGTATTTGAATTACAAATGAAACACATTGAGTAAATTTGAAATATTTTACTTTTTCTATTTAATTGTACATCTGTTTTTATTGAATCTGTAAAGCATCTTGAATGTATGAAATGTTTGATAGTAATAAAGCTGCCTTGTTTTTTTTTTTCAACTTTACTGTCACATGAATGCATCACCAGGTTACAGGTCGTCTCAAAATAAGGTTTCAGTGAATTCAAGAATGTAACATATATTTCATGAGAAGTCCAGATCTAAATATAATCTTATATCTCATAAGAATATCTCTGGTGCAATGATTAATGAGAGACTTTAGCTTTTAGTCAAAGTGATAAAGTGGTGAACATTCTTCACTAAAGATGACCTGATGTGATTTTTTACTTTTTAAAACACGTCTAATAAACATCACTGGACTTTAGCTCGATATAAGCTCCAATTTTATCAATCAAACTTTATTTAAACGCACCTTCAGACAAATTCAGGTACAGTTCAAAGTTCTTTACAAGGGAGCGGACATGTGATGGACAAAAGGCACGTTGTAAAAAAATAATTTAGAGACTAATGCACATCAATAAGAATGCAATAAAATCACAATACAATAAAGATTGATGACATTGAGAGATTGAGAGACTAGAAATGAAGGACCAGGCAATAAAATAATAAATTAATGCTTGTAATAAAACATTTAAAATGTTAGACAAATAAACTTAAATAGTTTAAAAGTAATGAAAAAGAAAATATGTGTTTAATAATAAAAAAACTAGAATAAAGGATGAAAGTCATTAATCTGAGTCCTCTGCTCCAGAGCTGCTCTGTTTTATTACAGTAAGAGTATGATTGTTAGACGACGAAAAATGGAAAATTTGCAGCACTTTTATTGAACTTTTCTAAGTTTAAAGACGAATGCTTCCCTCATTTACGTAGAGACAAACAAACAGAGGGAACTTCTTCGTTCAGTATCTTTATATCCAGAGGCGCAGTCAGCAACCCCCCAAAAAAAGGTTCAGTGATAAATGTCTTATTTATGAAACATTTCCGAACGCTCAAAGCTAAACTTGTAGATCCCTCATTGTGATTTGCAGCCCCAAAAAATATCCCTTTCCTATAAATATACATGCACATGACTGTGTGTGTTTTGCCTGGTACTGTTATTCTGTTTCTGTTTCTGGTTTGCAGAACGCACGTTCAGATTTTTCTTCTACCAAAAAAAAAAAAAAACAGCATGCAAAGGTGATTGAGCCCTTTGAAAAGTGTGTGACATTGGGCTAAATAACAAATGTGTGTATGCAGCAGGTTAAACCAGAGTTTG